TGCCGCAGACATGGAAACAATTTCGATTCCCGCGCTCGCCCTGAGCTAAGATTAAAGGCAACTTGTCTGGGCATTCTCCTGACGTGAGCAGGAAACGCATCCGCATCCTCGTCTTGTAGCACACCGTACTCGAAGCCATGCCAAAATTGTTTTGTGCGAATCTCCACATTATCCCAGTTGCGCACAATCTCATCAGAAGCAGCACGAAGTGCACCAGGCTCCAGACCATAGGGAGCACCAACAAAGTCAAGGGAGCCACCGTAAGAACCGAATGGAGTCGGCCGCACCTCGAAATTACTTTGAGGAATGTAACGCAACGCGGTGGTCATTATGTTCACCGCATGCGCCGCGTTACCGTCGGTAAGCTTGTGCAAGAACCTGTGCAACTCACCCTCCATCGCGCGCAGCTCATCCGGCCCGACATCATCGCAAGCAGCGGCCGCGCGAGAAGCGCCTTGTGGCATGGCGTCACGCCCGGCACGGGGCGCCCTTCCGCAGCCCGCGGGGCCCCGAACGCCCCGGGCGGGCCGAGCTAGCACAGCGGGTGGGTCACGAAGCCCACCGGAGGTCCTCGGGCAGCGATTCCACGCTAAACGCCCACCATCGTCTAAGCCGCCCTAGACGATAGACTAACGCGTCCTTAGCGAATAAAGATTCCCGTTTGGGGCATCTTTGACTGGTTCCGACATAATGTCGCGTAAGGAATTTGTTTGCTTGTCTCTTCAGCATGATGTGTATGGGACAGACCCGCTATATCAGGCTTTGGATAATGAATGTCTTGAGATGAAGGCACAATCGTTAAAATCAAGATTGACTCCAAAGATCATGAAAAAGCAAAAGAGCTCGGTCGAGCACTATTACTGTGCGGTTGAGACTTTGCTGCGGGACCAGACACGAATTATGTTCCAGTTGGGCATCATGTTCAACAAGCGTTTCTATCGAAGGGACATTGGCCTTGAACTTTTCGTTAGTCGATACGGAAGCGACGGCCGTCTTTTTGCTGGGGTTAAAGAAACCTTTCCCAAGTTGTGCGAAACGTTCCCAGACCCGAAGCCCACTGATGAACTCATTGCAATAAATGGCAAAACGTTCCCACTCAGACCATCCCTATCATTTTTCACCCAGCTGGATGACTACATCTCGACGGCCCCTAGGCCTCTTATCCTCACGTTCATTCAAGGCCAAAATCGCGATTGCGCATTTCTTGAACAGGTTGCGCGTCAGAATCAAGAAGCTGCTATCGCCAAGCTCACAGCGCGAAAAGCGCCGGGTCCGCAGCGCACATCCATTAGTTTTGATGTCGCGATCCCCGGAACAAATCTCGAGGCCGATACACCAGACGTGATGTCCATCCGACGTGAAGACGAAATTCACTTTCAATATAGTCAATCACAAGACGAGTACTCAGGTGATGAGCTCACCCCACCTTCGTTAGACGGCAAGAGAACACTGGTCTCTGACGATACCTTCATAGTTTGTATCGGTGATGCCGATGACGCAAATGCAGATGCTGGCAGCGAGAGCACCTTCGCCTGTCTCGGGGTACAGTGTGGAATCTTCCATTAGCCACAATATCATGACATTGGCCGGGGTCGGGGCATGCTTCTTCCTTCTTGGCTGTAGGGGAATTTTCTTTTCTAATTTCAGAGAAGTGTCGCGGACGGGCAGGGCCCGCGCGCGCCGTCGCCGCCCGAGCGTCGGAACGGTCCGCGTCCAGCAGTCTCGCGCGCTCCGCGGCGCGCGGCCGCGGTGCTCGACGCGCGGCGCAGCGCTACCTTACGTTGACGCCCGGACGCCGACGCCTCCCCGAAGTTCCGTAGGACGAAAAGCCGGCTTTCTATCCTGGCGAGCACATACGATTACGATTTAGTTTGATTTATTTATTTCTTTACTTCAGAGGCATGCAGATCGATCGACGCGATGTCGGAGCTCGCGGTTCGTCTGTAGCTGCGCAGGAATGGCGGCGCGGATGGTTTGTCGTGAGCGAGAGCGTAAAATGAAGAACACGAGCTACCCCGAGTATGCTTCCTCAGCAGGCTGAGGATGATGATCACACTCAAGGGAGGAAGATGGTGGCTGTGCTCAGGAAGCTGAGGAGGATGATCGAGGACGACGATGATCACACTCAAGGAGGAAGTTTGCTTTTGCTGCTTTCCTGTCTGCTGCTTTTGTTTCTGCTTTTCGCTCCGGGAGGATGGTGGTTTCTGCTGCTTTCCCGCTCTTCCCTTCTGCAGGCTGCTGCAAGCAAACGCGGCCGACGGGGATGAGAATGACGGCGATGCTCAGCCACTTTCCCTCAAGGCCCCTGGCGGCTGCCCCGGGCCGTTGCCGGGGCCGGCGCGATCCCGCCCCTCATCGAGCTGCTGCGAAGCGGCAGCTACGGCGCGCGCGCGCGCGCCGGTCGCGCCCTGGCCGTGCTCTCCTACCACATGGCGGACGAGAAGGGCGTCCTCGCACGGGCGCGCGACGGCCTCGGCGCGCTCGCCCCCGCCGGCGGGCCGGTGTCGGCGTCTATTCCGCTGGGATGTCCTTAGCTCCTGGCTTCTACCTAAGGAGCCCACATTCCGCTCCTTAGGCTATGCTGCCCTAACTCGGGACTATGCTATCCTCCCTATGCTGGGACGCTCATACTGGCCTATGCTGCTGGCTATGCTAAGTCTGCCTTATACTGGCTATGCTCATGCTATACTATGCTGGTGCTTCATACTAGCATACTCGGATTCTAACACCAGCATGCGTATGGAGATATTGATTCTATCATGCATATCCGCGGGTATTGGTTCCAGCATGCCATTCCGGACGATATATACTAGGTATTGGTTCCATCTTGCTTATAGGCATGTTGTTTCCAGCATAAACTGATTCCAGATTTTAAAAAACTGTAGTAATCTGCTCCTGATATTATGCGCGCGCTCGGCGCCGTCGCGGCGCTCGCGCTCGCGCTGCCCCCGGGCGCGCCGATCGTCCGCATCGCCGAGACAAAGTACGACGTCGACGAAGCCGTCGTCTTCGACGACCAGCGCGCGCTGCCGTCGCTGCGTCGTTGTAAATCCTGACACTGTACTCGAAATGTTCTCAACTCATGTTGGTAAACTTGTTTCCATGTTCGTTGTTCTTGTAGCCCTTCTATTTGATATTAGACTGCTTGCTAGACTTCCAGTTGGTGACTCTTTACTGAAACCTTCCCAACAAAGAGCAAATGCCGAAGATGCAAAAATGTTTGGAGGTGGATGGTGGATTGAAGAACATTGTGTTCCAAATCAACCAACTTTCCAAGAGACTTATGGAGATGAAGTCTTCAACATTCCACGACGTCCGCGTCACGGACCTCGACCGCGTCGTCGAGGACCTCGAGGACATCGGCTTCGTCGACGTCGAGTACGAGGTCGGCGGCTGGCACCTCGGCTACGTCGTCTCCTACCCGGACCAGTGGCTCATCGTCTACGCGCGCAAGCCCGGGCCCGCGACGGACTCGGAGCAGCGCGTGTAGAAATCAATTATAGTTATCCGAAACTAAGATGGGTCGAACTAAAATACCGCCGGCGGCGGCATTTTAGTAGGCGCGGTTTTGAAACTCGAAGTCGAAACTCGGCCCGAGGGCGTATCCGGGAGCGTGTGTGCAACTGGGTCGGCACTTCTAGACGAGGCAAACCAGATACACACGCCGACTTTGAAGCGCCAAAGCGAGCCGCCATCGACGCCGATTTACGCGATGAAGGATGGGATTCACCAGGGGGAAATAAAAGTAAAATCAGAGTACCGGGGGGAATGACGGTGCGGGGAGGCTTCAAGGGCGTCGCGGGGTCGCAAAAGTCGTCCAAAAGGGCACCCGGCCGAAAAGGCCCAGCTGCACACACGACCCAGGATGGGTCGTTGTGGTGCTGCAGGCGGTCATGGGCGGCGGGGTTGGTCGTAGGTGTCATGGGGGGTCGTGCGCTGCGTCGGGCACCGTCGGGGTAGCGTCGAGGGAACACTGCTAGGTGCTGGAGGGGATCCCGAAGGCCCGTGACGTCGTCGACGCGGCCGTACGCGCACTTGCCGGCCTCCGTGACAGCGGCGGCCGCGACGCGTAGAACTTCGGTCCTGGAGAGCGAGTGGAGGTACGCGTCGGTCGTGTTTGCCGCCGCAGTGGGCTCCGGGTACTCGCCGTCGTCGCCGACCGCCGTCGGGTCCGGCGCCGCGGACTCCCGACGAGGCGTGAGCACCTAACTGGCCCTTGCGCATGAGCTGCAGGCCGCGCGCGATCCGCTGGCCCGCGGACAGCACCGCGGCGCGCGTGAAGCCGAAGCCGCGCATGGTCGCGAGCACGACGGCGCAGAGCAGGACGTCCTCGTCGACGCCCATCTTCTGCATCGGGCCGCGCGTCGGCGTCGCGTGGAGGTCCTTCCAGGGCGTGCCGCCCCTGGCCGCGCCTTTGTGCTTCTTCGTCCAGTGCTCGATCTTGTCCCGCGACACGTAGCGCTTCCTCTCGTCCCAGCAATGCTTCGCGACGACGGTCGCCTTGAGCTCGTCGTGGACCAGGTCGCAGCACCGTTTCAGGTCCTCGACGGTGCCCGCGACGTCTTTCAATGACTTGCCGTCGGGCGGCGTCGGACGCCAGGGCCCCTTCTGCGGCGACTTCGCCGGACGGCCTCGTTTCCCACCAAGCTTCTGGACCATCGCCGGGGCTGCTCCGCGTGTGTGTATCCGGGAGCGTGTGTGCCCTCTAGCTGTTAACCTCTCCTAGCCTAGCAACTGGGTCGGCACTTCTACAATGTCATGTAATAATTACAGCCCGATGAGGAGTCCGCGCCAAGGGCAGCCGCTCCGATGACGGCGCGGAGCCTCGTCCTCCTCGCGACCTGGGCGCGCGCCGAGTGGTGCGCCGTCCAGATCGCCAACGTCTTCGGCGACGCGCCGCTCAGCGTCGAGTGGCGCCTCGACGCGGCGCCGGACGTCGTGGCGGCGGCGGCGGCGGCCGTCGTCGACGAGCTGCCCGCGTCTGCATGGCCGGCCGCCGTGGAGGCGGCGGTCCGGTCCACGATGGCGGCGCACCGCGCCAACGGCTGCGCCGGGTCGCCGGCGCCGCGGTGCGTCTTCGACGCCGCGGCCGATCGCTGCGGCGGCGTCGCGGAGAATCTCGCGGCCGCGGCGCCCTACGCGGCGACGAATCTCACGGAGACCCTCGCCCTGGCCTGCGCGAACTGCGACGTCGCGTGCGGCGGCGGCGTCGGCTGCGCGGTCGCGGCCGCCGCGGCCGCGGCCGCGGCGGCGGCGGCCGCGCGCGCGGCCGACGCCGCGGAGGCGACGGCGCGGACGTCGGCGACCGTTGAGAGCGAGGGCGTCGTCGTCGACGCAGCCTGGGCCGAGCGGGGCCGGGACCTCGTCGTCTTCGCGTCCGCGGGCGGCCGCGAGGTCGCGCGGCGCGTGCCCTGGGCGTCGCGCGAGCGGCGCCACGGCGCGGCCGCGGTCGCCGCGGCCTTCGCGCGGACCGCGGACGTCGGCGCGGCCTGCGGGGCGGCGGCGCGCCCCGCGGGACGGACGTGCGCGGTTGTCTACGTCGGCGACCTGCGCATCCGGGACGGTGCGCACCTCCGCGACGTCCGCGCGCGCT